CCCCCCCCTGCAGAGATGGCGGCGCCTGTGTAAAACAACCTGGCTTCTGTATATCTCCACCATGGTTATCACAAAAAAGGCAACTGCACTGTGGCTCACTTTTTTAGGTTTCCAAACATCTTCAGAATAACTGAGCAAATTTCAGATTGCCACCAATTTAACCTCTTCAATTTAACCTCTGAATTTCACCACTGTGGCACAATAATAGGATTTACATTACTTTACATCTTAGAGGGTTTGCAGTCCAGTCCATGGAAGGAACAGCTCAGGCTGTAGCATGAAATGCGGCTATTAGGATGAAAAAACAGCCTGCACAATTTGTGCTAAGCAATTACTTAATTTGAAAAATAAATAATGTAATCACTCTAATTTTTTCTATCGCATTTGCACAATAACCAAAATCAAGGTCGTTAACAAACAATACACATTGATCTGAATACAGAAAATGAGGGAGAAACTCAAACCTCAGCAGGATAAAGAAAATCCTGTCACATGTTTGGGATGGGAAGGGGTTGAGAGTTCAAAACCCACTCCCACAGTCTACCATTCTGGCTCTTTGATCAAGACACTGTAGCCCTGAATGCTCTGCAGAGTGGCAGCCCACTGCTCCCCAAAGGGTTTGGTTTAAATGAAAAGAGTTAATTTCTCCATTGTAAGATTTACTTATTTACATATTGTTTCCTAAAATTACATAAACTGATAAGCAGCTATCATTACCTTTCCAGCTCTAAATCAAATTGATCTTATGCAAAAGGGTTAAAAAAAAGGTCCAAAACAAAACTTATGATTAAGACACTATGACCTCTGTAAAAGGATGGAAAGAAATGGCAAAACAGATTCTGACATGAATGATTCAGATTCTCCAGTATAATGCAATATCTTGAGTTTATTTGAGCTCCCACCCTAGAAACAAACCCCCGTATGATGAATTCTCCTCCTGCGGTCCACCATCCTTGCCAAATAGCTTTGAATCTGTACTATATACCTCAGGAAAGGGATTGCAGTCAGCTTTAACAAAAGAAGAAATAGACCTTCTGGATCCCCATTTATCACAGTTAAACATATCTTTAAGAGTATCTTTTGGAGTATCTTTTAGATACTCTCAGGTATCTAAAAGATGTTTAGTTATTTGAAATTCCAGTAGAATTAAATTGGGGTGTAGTCAAGAGAACAGTGATAAATGAGGATAAGAGCTCTGTTTATTAAGATTTATTTAGAGGTTGTGTTAAAATACTTCTGTAGTTGTTGATGTTCCTAAAATTGGACATTAAT